AACCTAGATGTCATCCTTGACTTCTCACTCTCACCGTCCATATCCAATCAGTTTCTAAGTGCTATCAATTCTACCTTGACCACATTTCTCATATACGCCTCCTTCTCTCCTCTGATACTGCTGCCACTGTGGGTGCAGACCCTCTTCACTTCACACCTAGACTACTATAGTAGCCTTCTGCTTGGTCTCCCTGACTCAAATTTTTTCCCAGTCCAGTCCAACCTTCATTCAGATTTCAGAATGATCTTTCTAAAGCACAAATATGACCATGTTACTCCCCTATTCAGTAAACTCTAATGTCTCCCTCCCTCCCTTGTTCAGTCGTTTTTTCAGTCATGTCCACCTCTTTGTGCCACAAATTGGGGGTTTCTTGGCAGAGACACTGGTGGTTTCCCATTTCCTTCCCCAGCTCATTTTAAAGATGAGGAAACTGAAGTAAACAGGGTTAAGTGACTTGCCCAGAGTCACACATCTGGGAAGTGTCTGAAGCCATATTTGAACTCAGGAAAATGAGTCTTCTTGACTCCCGGCAAAGCACTCAATCCACTGCACCACTTAGCTGCCCTGTTAGCACTAAGATCAAATATAAAATCCTGTTTGGCTTTTAAAGTCCTTTATAACCTGACCTCTTCTTACCTTTTTATTTCTCTTATACCTTACTACCTTCCATGTACTCTATGACAGTGACACTAACCTCCTTGCCATTCCTTGCAGAAGATACTCTCTCTCAACTCTAGGCATTTTCTCTGGCAATCCCCCATGGTTCAAAATCTGTCCCTCCTCATCTCTGCCTCCTGGCTTCCCTAAAGTCTCAGCTAAAGACCCATGTTCTGCAAAAAACTTTTCCCAATCCTCCTTAATCTTAGTGCTTTCCCCCTAGGATTAGTTCCAATTTATCCTGTGTATCTTGTTTGTACATAGTTGTTTGCGTATTATGTCCCCCTTAGACTGTGAGCTCCTTGAGACCAGGGGCTGTCTTTTGCCTTTCTTTGTATCTTCAGGGCTTAACACAGTGCCTTGCATATAGTAGGCACTTAATAAATGCTTGCTGACTTGACTTCTGCCAGCATTTTACTAAAATTGCTCTCTTCAAAATTATCAGTAATCACTTAACTGCTAAATATAAAGGCCTTCTCTCAGTCTTCATCCCATCTGACCTCTCTACAGCTTTTGATCCTATTGACCACCTTCCCCTCTTGCATATTCTCTACTCCTCTGACTTCAGCAACACCCTTCTCCTGGTTCTTCTAGTACTTGCCTGAAGACGCCTCAGTCTACTTTGATGAAAAATCATCCCAAGTTGGGATGTCCTCTAAGGCTCTGTCCTAGGCCCTCTTCTCATCTCTCACTAGGAAGCTAGGTAGATCAGGGGATAGAGCACTGGGCCTGGAGACAGGAAGACCTGAGTTCAAACCTCTCACTCCAAATCAGTGCTCCATATCATAGAAGTGGTATTTGAAATGGGCCCTTAATTTCAACTGTAAAATGAGGATAATAAATGTACCTATCTCACAGGGTTGTTGAAAGGGAAAAATAAAACATTTGTAAAACATTTAGCACATTGCACACAGCCGACATTTAATTAATGCTTATTCCCCCCGCCCTTCTTTTTATATTCTTTCCTGGTGATCTCATCTTTCTCCATGGCTACAGTTTTCCAAAATCTTTGTCTTCAGCCCAAATATTTATTGAATTTTCATCCCAAATCACCAGCTCTGGCCTGGACGTCCCATCCATGTCTCAGATTCACTGTATCTTCCCCCCAAACTTATCCTTCCTCCATGTTTCCCTGTGTCTCTTAAACATACCACCATCCTCTGTCACCCAAATTCACGACCTCTCAGAGTCACATTCCACCCTTCCGTATCCTGCCATATCAAATCAGCTGCCAAACCTTGGGGATTCCACTTCCTGAGCAGACCTTACATCTGTCCTCTTCTCTCTCCTATCACTGTCTTAGGTCGGAACCCCCCTCACCATCTCTAACTTGGCCTGTTGTAATAACCTCCTTTTTTTGTCTTCTCCCTTCGTAGGATTACAGAATTCCAGTATTAGAAAAGACCTCAGAAGCCATTTAGTCTAATTCATCCTACCACACGCCTGACAGGTAGTCCGTTAGCCTTTGTTCCAATGAAGAGAATCCCCATATAGCATCCCCAAGTCAGTTCATTCTGCTTTTGGACGGGTGAAATTATTAGGAAGGGGCAGGTAGGTAGCACAGTGGATAAAAGTACTGGATCTGGAATCAGAAAGACTCATCTTTCTGAGTTCAAATCTGGCCTCAGACACTAGCTGCATGACCCTGGGCAAATGACCCGTTTGCCTCAGTTTCCTCATCTGTAAAAAAAAAATGAGCTGGAGAAGGAAATGGCAAATCACTTCAGTATCTTTGCCTAGAAACCCTCCCCCCCAAAAAAATAAGGTCACAAAGAATTGGACACAAATGAAAAACAACTGAACAATTGTTAGGAAATTTTTCCTGACATCAAGCCAAAATGTGCCTCTTTCTGATTTCTACTTATTATTCCTGGTTCTTCCCTCTTGGACGAAATAGAACTGAGTCTAATCTCTTTCCATAAAACAGCCCTGCAGATACGTTGGGTCATTGATTAAGAGCTGGAAGGGACTTGAGAGGCCCTCTAATCCAACCCCCTCTTTTTACAGATAAAGAAATCAAGTCCCAGAAAAGTTAAGTGACTTGTCCAGGATCACATAGCTAGAAAGTGGCAAAGCTCTAATGTCCTCGCCAAATCTCTTCTCCAGGCTAAATGTCCCCAGTTCTTTCAACCAGTCCTCAGATGGAATACATTTGAGGCCCTTTGCAAGTTTGGTTGCCCTCCTATGGATATTCTAGTTCATCAAAGTCTTTCTTGAAATGTAGTGCCCAGAAATGAACAGTGCTCCACATGTGGACTGACTGGGGCAACATAAATTGAGATTATCAACTTCTCATTCCTGGCAGCTGTGCTTCTCATAATGCAGTCCAAGATCATATTAGCTTTTATGATTGCCATATCACACTGTTGACTCATTGTCCTTTTGTTCTATTAAAGCTCTGAGATCCTATTCTCACAAATTTCTGCCTAATTGAGTTTCTGCCACGTGATTCTATACTTGTAGTTAATTTCTCAAATCAGAATGAAGACTTTAACATTTATCCCTATTAGAGTTCATCTTTTTAGATTCAGCCCTATTCTCCAGCCTGTCAGGATATTTTTAGATACTGATTCTGTCATCCAGACTGTTCTCTCTCCCCCCTAGCTTTGTGTCATCTGCAAATTTGGTAAGGATGCTGTCCATGCCTTTTTCCAGGTCATTGATAAAAAATGTTCAGCAGTACAGGGCGAAGCAAAGATCACTGGAGACCTTCTAAGTTGACATCAAACCATTAATTAACTAGTCTTTGGGGCTCTCCATTCAACCAGTTCCAAATCCATCTAACTATATTATGGTCTAGTCCAGCGCTTCATAAACTGTGGGTTCCCTTAATATATGTGTGTATACATACATATATGTATGCATGTATACACATACGTTTGTATACATATGTGTACGTATGCATTTATGTGTGTATACATATATGTGTGTATATATACAAACATATACATACATAAATTCTCTTAATAAAAGGATTTGTTCTGTGGAGTTTGGATTCAGTTAAAGGGCCACACTTGAGGACCTAGAGGGCCACACATGGCCTCAAGGCTGCAGGTTCCCCACCTCTGACTCCTAGAATTCCTAGATTCCATCCAGGCTTAGCTTCAGTACCTGTGGACTCCAGCTCCTATGTGAAGGCTTTCTTGATTTTTTCTCTCCCTTGTTGTTAATGCTCCCTTCCTTAAATTATCTGGGCTTCAGTTTCATTGCCTGTGAAATGAGTTTTCCTTATACCTTACATGGACTTCCATACTCTGCTCTTCCCAAATTCTCTCTTCAAAGCCCAGCTCAAATGCCACTTCTTCTGTGATGCCTTCCCAGCTAAAAGTAATCGTAGAAGGAGCATTGGATTTAGAGTCCAAAAACTTGGATTCACATTCCAGCTCTGCCGTTTATGATGTGTGTAACCTCAGACAGTCATACAGACTCTCTGGGCCTCAAATTTCCATATCAGTAAAATGAGAGGGAAATTATATGATTTTATGGTCTGTTCTTCATCTTATGTTCTAGCATTTTGCATTCCACTTATGCACTTAACACATACTAATTTATATTTATATGTTTCTGTGTCATCCCTTCCCCTTTTTAGATTTTAAGCTCCTTGAGCTTATCTTTGTATTGGTTTCTTCCCTATTGTTTAATAAATATTTGATAAGTGAATTAATGAAAATATTAATGCATGCTCTACTCATGATGCCAGGGTAATGAGCTCTGTCTCCTACCAGATGCTTAGCTATAGCCACAGACACCACTGGCCGGAAGAACACAGTAATTGCTATACTATGGTCCATACATCCCGACCTAGTGTTCGTTTCTGTATGCATTTACTGACAATAGGCGAAAGCCCAGAGAGTGTGGATGACTCACTGGAAATTCGTCATCACAACTGGCAAAAAGGACATGGCCTTTATCTAAGCATACAAAGAAAGATACTCAAGCTAAACTCTAGACAGGAGAATATGATACGATAGCCCCTAACATTGAGGAACTTATGCAATGAAAAAGTATGTAATTTTTTTGTTAACCTTTTTTATCGCAGGTCAGATCCCATCAACGTAAATCTAGGTACAAAGAAAAAATATTTCTGAAATACTGACAATGATGCTTTAATTCCTATCAGTGTTCAATATGGCATAATTCTTACACATCCAAATAACTTCTTTGGAGAAGTGTTGTGTTTTTTAGCATGAGAATAAATATTCATATGTTTTTATTAGACTAGTTGGATTGTAAATCATTTTTCACATTTTTTGAATAGTTCAGCTTAATGTTAACCATGCTGTGTGATTACATTTAGAATTATAAAAATGTTCATATGACAGTAACCCTTTTCATATCTTTAGTTTCAGCTCCAGAATTTGTTTTTGAACATGGTTACCAAACCTACCTGCCCTCAGACAGCAGTGATACCCAGACGGCCACAGTCATCTCCGTCCCTCCCAAGTCACGGTCTCGAAAGCCTACAGCCTCACCTGCACAGAAGAAACTTAATTGTTGCTATCCAGGTAAACATTATTGCGTCTTATTTCCTGTGCATAAGAGCAACACAGTCGGGGTTAAAATGGGGAATTCTGGCTTCCTGTTCTCGTACTCTGCACAGTCAGACATCAGATAGCCAGGGCTACCTGTTAAAGGCATCCGATCTGTACCAGCTTCGCCAGCACAACCAGCATTCTGTTGTCATCTGAATGCTTACTGCATGCTTACTGAGTTCAAGAGTCCTGCATGGTATGTGACTTGCCAGGCCCATGGAGTTCTGTCAACTTCCTTCTGAAGTCTCTATAATGCATTATACCATTCTCTCTCCATCCTTGTTACTGTTATTTACAGACCTTGAAATCACTCATCTCCCAAGCTTCCCAGATGACCTCAGTAGGCCGTGGTCCTCCTCTCCACACACATCCCTGCCATTATCCTTAGGAACTACAAATCCTCACCCCAAACTGACCATACAACTCTTCAGTTGAGACTGGCTCAATTCAGCCATACAGACATAGTCACAACTTAGATTTTACTCCTTGAGAACTGCACTAAGATCTGAAACTTGAAATTCCTGCCCCCCAGTTACAACCTCTATCACTTCACTGCTCCCTCTCTGTCACTCTCGCAAAAACTACCCTTGATCCATAAGGTGGCCCTGAGACGCTTGGTATGTCCCTGTTTTTCCAGAGCATCCCTCCCTCTCTGGCGTCCACATCCAGCCTTGACCCTGCAATCAAACACTTCAGTGCTTCATTAGCTACTACCTTAGAGCCTCTTCCCTTTTTCACGGTTTTAAAAGTTTTATTGATGTGTTTTGTGTTTATATTACAAACACAGATTATCCCCAAGAGGTCTCTCATAACAAAATAAAACAAGTAAGCAAAGCTAAGACTACAGTGACCTCATCTGAAAGTGTAGCCAACATTCCACATGTGGAGCACCTTCCCCCATGTTGTTAAATTGTTTTTTTTAAATAAACAAAAATTTGTTTTATCTCTCTCCCACCCTCCCCCATTAAAAAAAAAGAAAAAAAATTCCTTGTAATAAATACGCAGAGTCAAGCAAAACAAATTCCCTCATTGTCTGTATAATATATACATATACATATACATACATATGTATAAATATACATATGAGGGTATATGCACATATATACATATACATTCACATATGCATATATGTGTTTCATTATGTCACCACATCCATGATCTTATTTCTTTTTTGGTTCTCCTGGGTTTCTGAGTATCACTGGAGAAAGTTGTGAAACTAAAATGATCTCACCTACTATCTATTAGCATTCATTTATTAACATGTAGAATGTGCCAGGCACTGAGCTGAGGGTTGTGTATACAAATACAAAGAATGAAACAATCCCTGCCCTCAAGGAGCTTACATTCTAACTAGGGAGATAAGTACCTTGATAAGTATATATGGAATAAATTGTAAAGAAAATAAAGACAAAGTAGTTAAATACAAGTTAATTAGGGAAGGAGGAGAGCATTTGCAGTTGGAAGAAATGTGTGATGCTGGCTGAGTCCTCACTACTATTCACCAGTTCACTTACTCTACTCTTACCAAATTCTTCTCACTCCCTATAGTGACTAGTATTTTAGTCAGTTAGTCAATAAACTTTTAGCTAATCAGCCAGTAAACATTTATTAAAGACCTGCTATGTGCCAGGCACTGTACTAATCTCTGGGGTTACAAAGAAAGTTAAAAGACAGTCCCTGCCCTGAAGGAGCTCACAATCTAATGGGAGAGACAGCATTCAAATAACTATTTACAAACAAGTTATGTACGAGGTAAATTGGAAATCATCAACATAGAAAAGTCACTAAAATTAAGAGGGATCAGGAAAGGCTTCCTGTAGTTGGTGGGATTTTAGCTGGGACTCATAGGAAGCCAGCAGGGGCAGCTAGGTGGTGCAGTGGATAGAGCACCGGCCCTGAAGTCAGGAGGACCTGAGTTCAAATCCTGGCATCAGACCAAACACTTGACACTTACTAGCTGTGTGACCCTGGGCACGTCACTTAACCTCAATTGCCTAAAATTAAAAAAAAAAAAATTAAAAAGTCAGCAAAGCCAAGAGACAGAAGTGAAGAGAGAGCATTCCATCAATGGGGGGCAGCCATGGGAGATGGAGCATCTTGTTCAGGGGTCCAGTTGGCAAGGAGGCCAATGTCACTGAATTGAAGAGTTAGGAAAGAGGTATAAGATAGAAGAAGACTGGAAAGATGGAGGGCATTCAGGGGGAGGTTATCAAGGACTTTGAAAGCCAAACAGGATTGTATATTTGATCCTGAAGGTAATCAATAGGGAGCTACTGAAATTTATTGAGTAACTTGTGCTTAAGAAAGATCATTTTGATAGCTAAGTGGAGGATGGACTGGAGTTGGGTAAGACTTGGCGGTGGCAGACCCATCAGCAGGCTGTTATAATAGTCTACCATGAAGTGATGAGGACCTGCACCAGAGTGGTGGCAGTGTCAGAGGAGAGAAGAGGGCATATGTGGGAAACATTACAAAGGTAAAATCAACAGACCTTGGCAACAGAATAGTTATGGGGGGTAAGAAAGAGTGAGGAGTCAAGAATAATACCCCCGTTGTGATCCTAGGGAACTGAGGGGATGGTGGTGCCTTCAAAAGTTTGGAAGTGGAGAGTGTTTGGGGAAAAGATTATTAGCTCAATTTGGGACTCATTTTGAGTTTAAGATGTCTATAGGACATTCAGTTTGAGATATCTGATAGGTAGTTAGGGATGAGAGACTGGAGATCAGCAGAGAGGTTAGGGCTAGATAAGGTAGATTTGAGAATTATCAGTATAGAGATGGCAATTGAAACCAAAACACTAAGAGATCACCAAGTGAAAATGTATAGAGGGAAAAGAGAAGATCACCTAGGACAAACAAAGCCTTGTAGGACACTCATATTAGTGGACATGACCTGAATGCAAATCCAGCAAAGGAAATTAAGAAGTGGTAAGACTGGGGAGGAAAACCAGGAGAGAAGAGAGTCTTGAAAACCTGGAGAGAAGAGAGTATCAGGGAGGAGAGGGTGATCAAGAGGGTCATAGGCTGCAAAGAGGTTAAGAAGAATGAGGATTGAGAAAGTGCCATTAGATTTGGAAATTAAGAAATCATTAATAATTTTGGAGAGCAGTTTAGGTTGAATGATGAGGTAGGAAGCTTAATTGTAGAGAGTTAAGAACAGAGTGGAAAGAGAGGTAGAGATCCCCGTTAAAGACAGCCTTCTCAATGTGTTCAGCCACAAAAGTTAGGACAGATGTGGAAGGATGAAGTGAGGGGGTTTTGAGGATTGAGGAGATACATACATATTTGTAGGTAGTGGAAAAGCAGCCAATCCACAGGGAGAGATTGAAGATAAGTTAGAAAGTGAGCATGATAGAGGAGGCAGTCTCTTGGAGAAGATGGTGAAGATGGATAGAATGGGATCATTTGTGTATGTATGGGGTAAGGCCACCTCTTCATATGAGGAAAGGGTGAAGGAAGAGATGGTGGTAGAAGGCATCTGGGTGATGTGAGATGGGAGAAGAGGGAGCTCTCAGTGAATGGTCTCCATTTTTTTATTGGTCTCAATTATCTAGTAAAATTTAATGTCTCAATTATCAAGTAAAATATGAGGCAAGGTTCTCAGCTGAGAGGGTGGGGGGAAGAAGAGGCATTGAGAGACTCTTAGTCTCAAACCATACCACTACACCTAATACAAACGACTTAACCTCCTATTCCACTGAGATGAAGGCTTACCTACTGTGTTCCTCAAAACTTCCCATAGTCTCCTTTCCTCTACACAAAAGAGGAGATATCCCTATTCCTCACTAAAATTCATCTCTTTTCCTGTACCCTTGATCTCATTCTGTCCATATCTCCAGCTGTCATTGTCTCTCATGTGCGTTTTTGGCCTCTCCCTCTTCTCTAGCTTCCTGCTATCTGCTTTCACGCCTGCTCTAACCTCTAAGTCCTTTAAAAAAGAAAAAAAAAAAGCCTTCTCCATCCTTCTAGTGTATCCCACTATGACACCTCATCTTTCTCCTCTATACTCCTAAGATTATTGAAAAAAAATCATCAACTGATCAAGTTATCTAGTTATCAAGTGATACCTTCTTCCTCATACACCTGCTCTTCAATCACTTGCGATTTTACTTCCCCCACCCCACCTCTCTACAGCTCTAAGGTCACCACCCAACTCCTAGCTGCTCAATCGGCGTCCTTTGTTCAGTCCTCATCCTCTTGGACTTCTCCACCACATCTGACATTGCTGACTCGGCTCCTTCCAGATATCTCCTTCACTTGGTTTGCCTCCTTCCTTTCTCACTACTCCTTTTCTGTCTCCTTTGGTTCCTCATCCTTTTACCAGCCCCTTAAGGTCCTGCCTTTGTCTGATCTCTCTTCTGAGATTTGCAGCTGCCTGGATGCCCGGAACCACCTGACTCCATGAATCCATTCTGAATCCTCAATCAAACTTGATGTGTCCAAACCCACATTGTCTTAAATCTGTTCCTCCTTCTGACTTGGCCATTTCAATCTCCCATATGCATCTTTCACTCCTGTGTTTGAAATTTTAGGTTATGTTTGCCTCTTCTTTCATGCCCCCTATCTTATCAGTTACTGAGTCCTATTTATTTTACCTTTGTAATATCTCCTGAATTTGTCCCTACCAATCTCTTTCCCTGAGTGGTCTGTACTTTACTGTCCGTATGCCTTTGCTTAGGCTCTTTCCCCACCCCTCCTTGCTTTATCTGTTGTATTCCTTCCCATCCTTTGTAGCCCAACGAAGATGCCGCCTCCATAAAACCTTCTCAGATTCTCACCTCCATCAGTAATGATCTCTCTCCTCAGACCTCACTTAGCGCTTTGTTTTGCCCTTTTCTAAAGTTCTGGGCATTGGTGTTTCCCAAGGTTTTGTCCTGGGCCTTCTTCTCTTCTTTCTCTACTCTCTCTCTATAACTTCATCATCTCCTATAGATTTAATCATCATATCTCTGCAAATGACTCCCACATCTCAGTACCTCATCACCAATTGTCTATTGGACATTTCAAACTGGATAGACTAAAAACATCTCAAACTCCACATGACCTCATTGTCTTTCCCGAAAAAATCTGCTCTTCTTTCAAACTGCCAAAGGTGCTACCATCCTTCCAGTATCCCAGGTTTGTAACTTCGTGTGGCTTTGTCCTCGACGCCTCACCGTTGTCCACCTCTTACATCCAGTTAGTTGCCAATTCTTGCCCAACGTCTTCTCTCTGTTCACACAACTGCTATCTTAATTCAGGCCCTTAATTCATGTTCCTGTTCTGATTGGTTCTAAAACTTAAGAGAAATTTTTAAAATTGTTGGTATTTTTAGGTTGCCAGTTCAAGACAGCATATGGTATGAAAGATATGGAACGTCATTTAAGAACCCACACAGGTAAGTATCTGTAATCTTCTCTTTTTATTCCATGTATTCCCAGAGTGTGTTTTAACGTTTCACTTTGTGACACCTTTTGTAGCTGTTTATAGGTTGTATTATAAGATGGATCAGATCTTTAAAAGTTATAAAATTCTCAGATTGGTCACTTTTTTCAAGAACTCAGGTATGCTTCTAGAATGAGATTATAAATTCCTCTACGGCAGAGACTGTCTTATATATCTTTGTATCTGCCTCAGCTTTACACGTAGCCAGCATTTTATAAATGTTTGCAGAAGGAAGGAATAAATGCATGCAAACAGTTGATCAGTGTTATGCATTATTAGCCGAAATAGAGTAAATAAACTTTATGAACTAGATTTCTGTAAGCAAAATTGCTGTGTTTTGGTAAACTGTAATGTCTTCAGTCTAAGACTTGCCATCATATGTTTAAAGTCATGTATGTCTAGGAGGCAATAAATGCCTTATTTTATATCTCTCTACAAAGTAGTCTGGGCAGATTCCCAGGGTGCTTAGCTGCTACGTGGGAACCCACAGGTTTCATGGGCTCATTCTTCACCCCAGAAGTGGCACAGAACAAGTTAAATGTGCTGTCACCCTTTAAAATAGCTCATCCCAACTTGACTCCCTGCCCCGTGACCTTTTTCTTCTTTTCCAATCACGGTCACCCAATGACGTCTGTTTTGTTTGAAGGAGACAAACCCCACAAGTGTGAGGTCTGTAGCAAGTGCTTCAGCCGGAAAGATAAACTGAAGATGCACATGCGGTCACACACGGGCGTGAAGCCATACAAGTGTAAGAGCTGTGACTACGCTGCAGCCGACAGCAGCAGCCTGAACAAACACCAGCGAATACACTCCAACGAGCGTCCTTTCAAATGCCAGATCTGCCCATATGCCAGCAGGAACTCCAGCCAGCTGACCGTGCACCTCCGATCCCACACTGGTAAGAAGGGGCCTGGCCAGAAAACCTCTTCCCAACCTGTCTCTCTAGATACAACATGCCTTACTTGTATTTTGGAAATCTGAGGTCTGGTATAGCTGGTGCAGAAAGGATTAATGTCTTTCTGAGGCTTCTCTTACCTCTGTTAGAAAAGCAGAAATCACTGGTATGGATAGATAAATGGGGTATGTCAAAAGGCAGCACAGAATAGTGCAGAAATCACCAGATTAGGTAGAGTGGATAGAGCCTTCGACCTGGAGACAGAAAGACCTGAGTTCAAATCCAGCCTCAGGTGCTTACTAGCTGTGTGACCTTGGGCAAGTCACTTAACCTCTTTTTGCCTGAGTTTCCTTATTTATATAATAGTACCTGCCTCCCGTTGTTGTGAGGATAAAATGAGGTTATATTTGTAAACCGCTTTGCAAATCTTAAAGCACTATATAAATGCTAGCTACAATGATGACTTGAGTTCAAATCCAGACTCAAAGACTTTCTAGCTGAGTGACCCTGAGCAAATCACTTAAACCTCTCTCTGCATCAGTTTCCTCATCTATAAAATGGGAATAATAATAGCATCTACCTCTCAGGGTTGTTGTGAAGATAAAATAACCATAAAGTGCTTTGTAAAACCTAAAGTGGTATCTAAGTCCTAGTTATTATTATTAATTTTAATCAAGTTAATAATAACCAGTGGATCAAGTTTTTCATCTCTTTTCTGACTGTAGTTATGTGACTTATTCGCAGCTAGCAATAATAATAACCAAATTTTCTATGGTGCTTTAAGGTTTACAAAGCATTTATCACACATTATCTCATTTGATTCTCAAACAGCCTGATTAATTAGGCACAATTGGCATTATTTTCATTTTACAGATGAAGAAACTTAGGCTCATAAAGAGACTTGTCTAAAGTCACACAGATGTCAAATGTCAGAGTTGAGATTAGAACCCAGATTTCTTCTAGCCTTGAGTATTGAATTCTTTCCATGTGCCCTGTCTTAATTTCTTCATCTGTAAAATATGAACAGTACTTATATTCCCTGCCTCCTAGGGTTTCTGTAAGGAAAGTACTTTGCAAACCTAAAACTGCTTTAGAAATGTGAGTTGTTACTATTGTATTATTCTGCATTATCAGACAGAATTTGCCATATGGAACAGGGATATTTTAAAATTAGCCTAGGAAATGGAAATGATGTCATTTTCTAGCCATCCTTCTTGAGCTTTTTACCTATGAAATTATTTAACTTTTTTTCCTTTGCCATCTTGATAATGAATTTCAAGGGAAATCTTAATGAGGGCTTTCTCTTAGTTGGAAACCTGAACTTGAGAATTACCTCTAAGTTCCTTTTATATTGGTTTGCCTGTGCTCTGAAGGATTTATTTCTTACTGATTAAAAAGAATATCCCTGGCAAAAGAAGAGATTTATTTAAACTTTAATTCTTCCTTTATTCAAAGAGTTTAGGCTCTACAACTTAGCTATGAGAGATCTAAATTTCCTGGGATTTAGCCTTCTGAGGGTTTACAGAGAAGCAGATTCTTCAAGTGAGTAGTGCCTCAAAGGTCATCCATGGTGACACCGTGCCTGGCGCAAGAATTCCCTCTACAACTTCGGTGTCAAAATCATATAGGAATGGGGCCACTGCGCCCCATGCAAGAATCCTTGCGGGCTACAGTGACTTAGAAAACCACATGGCAACATTATCTGTTTTTTAATTGTGTTGTTATTTATTTGGTCAAATATTTTTACACCAGGGAGTGTTGTGGGCTGGGTGTTGTGACACTTCTGCTCTGCAACATCCCTAATGGGTAAGTTATCACATAAAAGGATTCGATGCTCTCTCTGTCTCTCTGTTTCTCTCTCCGTTTCTCTCTGTGTGTGTTTCTACACACACACACACACACCCTCAGAGATTATAATTCAGGGTTTCAATATGTATTTTTCTTCGGTGATTATTGATGTTTAAAGTTTATTTCTCCATGTTCTTGTTAAAACCGTTACATCTATAACACTTACCTGTGTTGTGCTAGGCAGTAGAAGCAGCTCCATGGTACAATGGATAGTAAAATGGATTTGAGGTCAGGAAGACTTGAGTTCAAATCCTGTTTTAGCTATGTGACTAGCTATGTGACTCTGGGCATATCACTTAACTTCTCAGTCTCAGTTTTCCCAAATGTAAAATGGAGATAATAATAACACCTGCTTCCCCTTTGTTCCTCTCATTTGTTGTAAGAAAGAAAGGAGGTAGTAGAGTATATACAGCATGGCAATTTTTTGTTCAGTCATTTCAGCTGTGTCTGAATTGTGACCTCATTTTGGGGTTTTCTTAGCAAAGATACTGGAGTAGTTTGTCATTTCCTTCTCCAGTTCATTTTACAGATGAGGAAACTGAGGCAAACAGGAGTAAGTGACTTGCCCAGGGTCACACAGCTAGTATGTGTCTGAGATTGCATGTGAATTCAGGTCTTCCTGACTCCAGGCCCAGCGCTGTATCCACTGTGCCACCTAACTGCCCTTTCTAGCATAGCAAAATGCTAGACAAACCTTAAAGCCCTGTCGTTTAGCTCTTAGTGGTTTTAGTGGTTCTAGAGAGCTGACTTTGGAGCCTGGAAAACCAGAGTTCAAGAGCTACCTCTGATCCATACTGGTTGTATGACCCTGGGCAAATCACCTAACTTCTCAGCGCCTTTTAGACAATTCTCTAAGACTAAGTTGCAGAGAAGGTGCAGATCTGTATTAACAGGAGGTGGTTCCTCTTCTGGGAGATTCCCATGCCAGTGATATCACAGACCCCGCCCCTATCCTTATTCCCTCTTTTATTTTTAGTATTATATAAAATATCTTGCTGCCTCAGAAAAGTAGCATTATATTTGATGTGCATGTTTTGGGCGTTTACAAAAAATTACGAAGATCCTTTCCCTATTTTCTGTAGGTTTTTTCTTAAAACACAGCCACCTGAAAGAATTTATCCAAGCCACAAGCAAATGAATTTGGAATTTGAAATCAGTGTTTGCTGGGTCATTTTCCTCTGTCAAGACAACATCTTTCAGTAAAATAGATTTTTTTAAGAAACTCAGCAGCTGGGTTTTATATAACTCTACTAGGAGAGCATGCAGCTGGGATTGTACGATAAATAAATCAGAGCAGTAAACAATGCATCTTTATTAATAAAAAAAACTGCATAAAATACGAGCTAGGCATTTCAAACATTCTTAAAATATACTCTGATTAGCACAGCATGATACAAAAACATGTAGCAAAATCAGTATAATATGTAACTCAATCAACAAATTGTGCAAAATTATACAACTATGAAACATTAACTGGCAAAGTGGGCAAATTAACCATATGCACTGTAGCGTGCTTATTAAAGAGGAAGAATGCACTAAGTACATTGGCACATTATATTTTGATTCGGGAAAACTAGAGACCCCTTTTAATCTCCTATTTCCCTTCAGTGTTGCAATGCCAAAATGAAGGATGATAGCTTAAATTCGGGGAAGAAAAAGCAGATGATATTTTTCCCCGTACCAGGAGCAACCCGAGCGACTCGGGCGCCTCAGGAAGTGATTTTCTAACCTGGGCACACTTGTCTACACCTCTTCTAACCGCCACGCCCCTTCCCTTGACAGGAGATGCCCCCTTCCAGTGCCAGATGTGCAGCGCCAAGTTCAAAATCAACTCGGACCTGAAAAGACACCTGCGCGTGCACTCTGGGGAGAAGCCTTACAAGTGTGAGTTCTGCGAGGTCCGCTGTGCCATGAAAGGCAACCTCAAGTCGCACATCCGCATCAAGCACAACACGGAGAACACCTTTAAGTGCGCCGAATGTGACTTCCAGTGCGGGAACAAGACCAGCCTCCGCCACCACTCCCGGAGCCACCAGCCCGAGCAGCCCATCAAGTGCCCCGAGTGCAGCTACTCGTGCGCGCACAAGGCCGCGCTCAAAGTCCACGAGCGCATCCACTGCGAGGAGCGACCCTTCAAGTGCGACTTCTGCAGCTTCGACACCAAGCAGCGCAGCAACCTTACCACGCACGTGAGGAAGGTGCACGGCGACAAGGTCAAGAGCAAGAAACAGAGCCTGGAGAGAAAGGGAGGCGGGGAGGGAGAGGGCGCAGGAGGCGGCGGCGGGGACCGGCCCAAAGCTGGCAGCTCCCGCCAGGTGGCCAGGCTGGACGCCAAGAAGGCTTTTCAGTGTGACGCTTGCGAAGCCTCCTTCGTGCGCGAAGATTCTCTCCGAAGCCACCGGAAACAACACAGTGAGTACAATGGCAATAAAAATGCTGATCTGGCTGTTTTGCAGCTTCAGATGGAGCCCGGCCGCCAGGTAGGCACACCTCTCACGGTCAGTCCCCTCCAGGTGCCCCTCCAGCCAAGCCAGATCCCCCAGTTCAGCGAAGGAAGGGTCAAGATCATCGTGGGCCACCAAGTGCCGCAGACAAATGCCATCGTCCAAGCAACGTCGGTGAACATCGTGCCTCCGGCCCTAGTGGGTCAAGGTCAGGAAGACCTCCCGGCCAATAACCGCCTGCAGATTCTGCGCCAGGTCAGTCTGATTGCCCCGTCTCAGCCATCTGTGTGTCAGAGCGAGGCCGGGCCAATCGGCCAGTCGGCAGTTCTGCTGACCGCTCACGATCAGACTGAAGGGGCTGCTTTGCACCAGACTCTCATCCCTGCCCCGTCCGGCAGTAATCACGAAGGCCCAGCCAACCAGGCTTTCATCACCAGCTCGGGCATTAGCTGCTCCGACTTGGAGGGCCTCAACGCTTTGATTCAGGAGGGGGCAACAGAAGTGACTGTGGTCAGTGACGGAGGCCAAAATATCACTGTATCCACCACTGCCCCTCCTATCTTTTCTTCTTCTTCCCACCAAGAACTGCCTAAACAGACTTATTCCATCATTCAGGGTGGGGCCCACTCAGCTTTGCTCTGCCCGGCAGATTCCATACCGGATTAACTTTTTTTAAAAAATGTCTTCCCTTCAAAAGAATTTCTTTCACCTGTTTAAAACACATCAGTAGAATTCTGTGAAGTTTTCTCATGATGATTTGAGTACTTCCAGGTTGGCTCCTTGAAAAATAAATTATAATTTTATGCTATCATATATGATAATTTTTTCACATTGTCAAAACCTTGAGAGCAGATCATTTCTGAAATGCCATATCATACCCACTATATGCTCAATGTTTCCACGATGCTACTGATTAGAGGAAGAAAAATAATTAAAGTGTTCCAAGCAATAGTACATGCATGTATTTTTTAGCCTCTTACCCTATCTTTCCTTACCATGATATACGTACCTTATGCCTTCATTAAATGGATGACAGACTTGTTTCCAGCACCATCCTGGAATACATGGGAATTGGTCAGCACTCCAATAAAGTTCCAGGTACAGGGAAGAAATTATTTTCCCTCCTGTCTCCTGTGGCTTTTTAACACAAAATTCACAGTGAAAAGAAGCAAACTATTGTTTGTTTATTTTTCTTCTGGAGCTCATTTTCTAAAATCTAGCCAGTCCATGACCTACTAATCCTGGTTTATATACATTTCTGATTTACATATGACCCTGACACATGAAAGGTTATATATACATTAATCCAACTAATGGTCTTCTTACCTTGACAACACCCTTTGGGACTTTCTTTGCATTTTACCCTCCCCCAGCTCTTGCTTGGGACATCCCCCTCCACTTTACCCCCCTCTCTACTTTTTAACCCAACTTTAGACCTTCGTGTGTAAAAGACTTAGCCTTAGGCCTCCGTGGTTTTGTCTCACCCCGGGGGTGATATCTACAGAGAGCAGGGATAAGATAGGCAAAATTCACGTGTGCCTATGCCACCACCCCATAGCAGCATCTCGGCTGCCTTTTCTAGTCAGATGCTTCATCCCACTCTCTACCTTGACCTGCCTCAGCTCCTCTAAGGAAATATACTTGAGTGCTTGTGTACAAAGACTCAACGTTAAACTTATGAGCAGCTGTCCTTCCCTACGGAGTCTAAATGAAAACTGGGGCAAGGAGAAGGGTTATAGTTAAGAAAAGGAAGGAGACTTTTTGATACTTTAGGGTTTTTTTTAAAATTTTATCAAATATAAATGTTAAATTAAAGTTGGTAATGCCAAGTTTAATATGTTTCACTTCCTTGAAAACAAAAAATTTAAATGTAAATAAACATTACAACTGAATAAGGTATTAGACTATGCCCTTTTTTAAAAATCTTTTTTTTATTGTGAACTTAATCATCAACAAACATGAATGTTTCAAAATATAAAGAACTAGAAAGGAAGATTGTATTCAAACCTGGATTTCTGTTATATACTGCTTTTTTTTTTTAAATGGCTATTAAATTTAATGGGAGCAAACTGTCCTGCTTCTCTGTGTCCCCTTTTGAACTTCTTTCTACTCTCCTCTGTGTATATTTAAATATTTCATTGATATTCTTTTCTTTTCTTTCTTTGCTTCACTATCACTACTCAGTGCCAGCCTTTGAAAGAGAATATTTGCATATCTGTTGTACCTTCCCTCCCCCCACCCATTCTCCAGTAGAAGGTAAACTCCTAGAGAACTAGAAAAAAGTGGTTTGGTTTTGTTGTTGGCTTCCCAGAATGTAGCTCGGGGCCTTACACGTGGTAGGCACTTAATAAAAGTCTGTGGAATATTTGGGGCTAGACCTGCTCTTTCCGTTCTGGGCCCCTTTTAGGAAGGATATTGACAAGCTGAACCATAACTAGAAGAGTCAGACAGGAAGGGAAGGGGACTAGAGCTTTCCATAAAGGGACCCATTGAATGAATTGGTCCTGAATAACCTAGAGAACGGGCGTCTAGGTGGATAGAGCGATGGACCCAGAGTCAGAAAGACTCATCTTTGTGAGTTCAAATCTGGCGTCAGACCCTGGTGAAGTCACTTCACCCTGTTTGCCTCAGTTTCTCACCTGTAAAATGAGCTGGAGAAGGAAATGGCAAACCACTCCAGTGTCTTTGCCAAAAAAAAAAAACTTTAAATGAGATCACAAAGAGTCAGACACGACTGAACAACAACAACCTAGAGAAGAACAAGCGTTAGATGTAAGACAGATGGCTTAGGTGTAAATTCTGCTTCTGCCGCTCACTACCCGGGTGACCTTATCTATTAGCACAGTCCCTGGCACACGGTAGGCACTTCATAATATAGATTGATTGATTGACCTTGAACAAATCTCTTCATCAGGTGTCTTTCGTGTATAAAATGAGCAAGGTGGACTTGGTAAGGTCCCAGCTCTAATTCTACAGTCCTGTGAATTCCATCTCTTCCCCCAGCACAAGCCCTGCCTTGGAACCACTAAGTATAGTTAAGCAAGACAAGTCAGTACATTGGCCGTTGGTGCATCTTCCTGCACCTCTGGGCCACCACCTCTCTGCTAAGAGATGGGAAACATGCCTCATTGGTCTTCTGAAGTCATGATTAGTCACTGCATGGACCAGAGCTCTAAAGTCTTTCAGCATCATTTCCCTTTCTGTTACTTTGGTCCTCATGTAAATTGTTCACTCTGCTTTACTTCATAAAAGTCTCAGATTTCTTAAAATAAGACGCATTCCTTGTTTCCTAAGATGCAATAATATTCTGTTACATTTGAATATCACCATTTGTTCAGTGAACAAGAGAGGCTTTCCCCCTATACATTTCCCTCTAGTTAACTAATGGGGTGGGGGGGAGTGGGGAGAGTGGCACTAGAGAGGAGGAGGATGGACTTTAGAAAACCTGTAAAGGACTGTATGTAAGATCATCCATGGATAGAGAGATAGACCTTAGTCAGAAGCAAAAGGTAATGGTGATTGAAAAAAAGGAAAACATGAGAAAAACGTAGGGAGCATAAAAGAAGCTTGCTAAATTGACAAGTGGTAATCCCAGGAGCTCCACACCAGTAGGAGGCTGCCCCCACCCTCAGCTCCTTACTCCCCAAACCCCTAACAGCTGCCCCACCCAGATCCTATCATATAATGATGAGGCTGGTTGTGATGTCTGATGATACAACAAGCTAACAGGAAGAGGCAGTGGTATAAATATTATGAGAACTCTTTACTTCCTGTTAATTCTGCATTGAAATTCTTGCATCAGCCACAAAGATTACAGCTCTTATTTCTGTTTTGAAAGCTTGGGCTCACAGCATGACTCTTTTTCTGCTGGCAAGTTCTTTTCAAAGCCTTAAATAATGGTATTACAGTGTTTCATGGAACAAAAAAAGTTTCTATTTTTTTAAATTGTGTGCAAACCTTGTTTACTTCTAAATCTATGGTTGTTGGTATTTTATCTGGGGGTTATTTAATTAGACAAACTAGGATTTTCCAAAGCACAATGTGAGTGGGAAAATAAAACTTGGAATACTAGTGTGTTCGTTAATAAAAGCTTTTATAGAATCTCAGCATTAGAAGGAGGCTCAGAGGACATTTAATGACCAAGAATCCTCTCTACTGTACTATCTGACACAAGCAGTCATCTAGTCTCTGCTCAAAGATCTCCATCACTGAAGAACCTCTTCCACTATCTACTTTGGGAGGGCTCTAATTGTTGGGAAGTTTTTTACTGTGTCCAACATAAACCTGCCCCTCTGCAGCTTACACTCCTTTCTTTGGAGTCAAGTGGAACAAAGCCTGCTCCTCTTCCACATTTTTCTTGAAAGTCTCCACAGACACATTTGACTTTGTACCCAATCATAAAAGTAAAGTTTTTGAGAAGTTGTACAGCTAAAATATTTCAGGGGCCTTGGCAACTATGTGACCTTAGATAACTTATTTCATCTCTCTGAGTCTCAGTTTCTTCATCTGTAAAATAAGAAGACTGGACTGGACAACTTCTAAGACCCCTTCTGGCCCTTAAATTCTATTTACACTTCACTCCAGAACCTGATTTCTTTTTGCCATTTTCTAAGTTGCAGTTAAAAAGTTTGGTCTGTAGGTGGTGCCAGAGATCAAGATAAAAAGCTCCAATGCCTATGAGTTGTAGGTACAGAAGGTACATTTTTACATTTTACTTAATTTTTTTTTCCAGCCTGATTTCTCCCTTCTGCAAGTTATAAGTTATAAATTATGTTACATGTTGAACCCCAAACTTTTTAAAAACAAATGTTAAAAATTGTTTTTAATGTAATCGGGGAAAATAAAATACTAAATACTTTTTTTTTTTAATTAAATTATTTGGTTGCCCTTATCAAGCCAAATGTTGATGCTTTTACATGGGAAGATATTATCTATTTCGTTTGGTAGTTCTGAGGGGATAACTGAAAATTGGGAGATGGGAAAATCAATGTTTTGAAAATAGGCCTATATAATCACTCACATTTCAATAGCCCTTTAAAGCTGACACCATCCAGTGACATAGGCAATGCATAGAGTAATATTCCATTTTACAGATAAGAACACTGAGGCTCAGAAAGAGGAAGCAAATTGCTGGGGACCACACAACTGGCAGATAGCAAAGTTAGGATTATTTTGTAGATCTTTCTGGATTCCAAGGTGGGGTGGTCCTTCTTTCTTACTTTCTTATTTCATCAGTCAGCCTCTCATGGAAACAAGATGGGACCAATCATTTTAATTGCATAATTTAACCAGTATGAAGTGGCAACGTAGGAACTAAGGAAATCAAGTGATATTTATGAACAAACACAACTCTCCTGATGACTCAGTGCTATTTTCCTTATATTCAAAGTGGAAGTGGTGCTAACAGGTTATTGGAGCAACATTGTCTTGAGAGACAATGAAATGACTGCAAGACAAAGAAAATCTTTTCAGATACTAGAATACAACTTTTGGAAATTATATTTGACTCCCTTTACAGAATATGTTTTCTACGTTTAGCTTCCAGAAGCAAAAAGGCTACTGACATTTAAAGTAAGGAATAGATTTTTGTCATAAATACATATGTGAACAATTATTGTTACTCTGGCACATAATTCTCAAGACAAATAAATAAGACATTAACCTGATTAGAGTATAGGGCAAAGGAAAGTGTCAGATTTGAACCCAGAGGACCCGGGTTGAAATCCCAGCTCTGTCACCTGTGTGAACTTAGACAAGTGACTGCCTCTTGTGGCCTCAGTTTCCTCATTTATAAAATGAAAAGGTAGGACTAGATAACCTCAAAAGTCCCTTTCATATGATCCTGTGAATCAACTGTTTAGGAAATTTTTTAAAGTCATGATCTTGTATTGAAATCCTTGGAACTACATAGGTTTTATGATTATAGCACAACATGATTCAAATCTAACTTC